GGCAGGGCGTCCTACGGAGCCCAGGCAAATCTCGTTGTACTCCCCTTATTATTATCTTCAAGAAGCGGCAGCACGTGGCGGGGTGCAGAAATCCAGTCTGCCACCAAACACAGGTGACACCCTTTCTTCTGGTAATTGGGCGAAGGCCTGGGGTAGGCGGCTCCACGTCTTTGTGCGAGATAGCGAGGCGCGTGCTGTGGTGCATATTGGAGGCTTCGCGTGTAATCGATGGGGCCAGAACCCTGATGGGTCGTGGATATGGCAGCATATGGATGCCGTAGAACGCAAGAACGACTCCACACCGAGCAGCATGGAGGAAACAACAACAACACCGGAAATTCACGAGCACAGGGTAGGCTTAGCCGCCAGTGAGCACAGGAAGCACCCAGCCTTCCCCCGCGTGGCTCTCTGGATCTTGCAAGAGCTAGTAACCAAGCGTCTCTTCTCGATCCTGCGAGAAGAACAGCGATTAACATATGAAGCAGCGTTCGACGTAATGTCATTTGACATTCTTCGGGGGGGCATTTTCATCATTACAGTCCACACTCAGCCAGAAGAAGCGGAACGGGTCCTAGAAGCAACGCATGTAGCGCTGCAGCAGCTAAAAACCGTTCGTCCCCTACTGCAGTCACAGCTCGAAGGAGCTAAGCAACAAGTACTTATGAGGCATGAGCACGATCGCAAATACGCGCGGTACTGGCTCGATCTTCTTGGCGGCTTACAGCTAAGTGATGTGAGCAAGTACACAGACGAATGCCTCAAATGTTCGAAAGCGGCGGCCCAGAAAGTTTCTGCTAAGGACCGTGCACTCGTGCATGCACCTTTAACGTGGTAACGCTACGCGGCACGATATGTTGAATTTAGGGCGGTTTCGCTGTTTTTGTGCTTGCAGGTTCCTCGGAAGACCGGTTCATACTTTGCAGATTTTGAGCGTATTGTCAACAGCATAACTCTCCAAGACATCCATTCGCTGTTGCTGTCGCTTGGTATGCGTCGGGAAAGCATGTGGGAAGCTATTGGTGTCTCAGGTCCCGTTCCACCAGCTGCTCTTTCTCGACCTCCCAAGCAAGCAATAAATGGCCCATCCATAACGCCTTCGAAGACGCGGCTTCGTGCCTCGGGCAGTGGAGACCTTCTCATTGCTCCAACATAGGACAAGATCGTTGGTTATCGCGTAACTAGTAGCGCTGCTTCGAAGCCCTGGGAGGGATGTCTTGCTTCACCAAACGGGAGGAAGTGTATGAGGCCGGATCACGTGCAGTCGGGATTCTTCGTAAAGGCGCCTTAAGGAGAGCGAGTCCCTGCTACGCTGTGCCTCTAGACAGCGCAGCATCACAATTTTTTAATGTTAGTGCAGAAATACTTTGCCAATCGCTGATTGGGATAACGGATAATTCCTTCTTTTAGGCTTGAAGGATTGTCAACCATCTCAAGCACGCGTTCATAGATGCGTAAGCATTTAACCAGCGAGCATCTGATCTTGCCAGTATCAATTTTTCTTTGTGAAAAATTCTTGCAGCGTATTACGCTTGCGATGTAGTAAGCTCTGTGTACGTGTGTGAAGGGTATTGCAGCTCAGACGTTTGTGTACCTTTCCACATAAATTTGCGCGTTGCATACGCAGTTTGGATGCCGCACTGACAAAGGCTGTGACAAAAGTTACCCACACCCTTTCCCCCCTGTTCCTGACATTCTCTTCGTACCGCTGAGGTAGCTCTGCGGAGCTAGCATTCTAAAATGCTTTAGTGTGGGTTAAAAGCTCTTTTCGCAAGAAACAAGTAAAATGCTTTAGTGTGGGTGAAAAGCTCTATTCGCAATAAACAAGAAGTATAGCAGTCCTGTTCACGGTTCATATGCCTTTCAGTTGTCAAAAGATGGTAGGGGCAGGCTTTCGGAAACCGAAGCAGAGGGTAATGGCTTTTCGCGATGTCGCGGTGGTGGCCCACTTGGGCCGGTGGCTGCTCCCGTACCGAAGGGGTACTCTCTAGGCAAACCGCTGAAAGGCCTTTGCAATCCCTTAGCCGTTTCAGTGGGAAGGCGTCCGCGCACGCTAACACTCGCTGCCCCACCCGCAGCAACTGTGGGGCCCTCTTTTGCTGGGTGCAGGTACAACGTGAGTGGCCGCTTCTGCAGTACTTGAGTGGATGCCACAGCTTACGTGCAGGCACACTCTGCAGTCTTTGAAGTTTCGCTGGCACTACAACAGTAGCTCGCCAAACGGCTCCTGTATAGTCGCCTGTAAGCCTTCAATAAGGAATGGTTCCCAGGCGAGGAATTAAATTAGTCTTGCCCGGGCGCCGCTCTACTTCGACCGGCAATACGAGCTTGATGCCTTGTGGAATTTCCTGCATGCAGCTAGGACGCTACACCTTAGACGTAAGCTGCATCATCTGCAGGGTACCCACCTCAGCTAGTCGGAAGTGCCAGTCTAAGGGAGTCTTTTGGACACTTATCTGTTGGACTCTACCGTAGTCTGCGTACTCGGCTCGGCCTATTCACTCCACCACTAACCTTCAAGACCTTGTTCGCAATCACTCTGAAGCGCCATAACATGCAAACTAGACATACGCCTAATGCCAAATGCCTCCAGAAATGCGAATTGAACTCGTACCGTGCTGAGAAATCTTCTGCTGTCACGGTGGTAGGAACGTGAGGTAGCAGTATTGAGTACGAGACAGCTGCGAAATTGTACTTATGAAGCCAGGAGCGATGTCAGTGGAAATATTTCCTGCCTTTCGTTGAGGAAATGACATGAGTCTCCGCTTCCTGCACGTCGCTCTCGAGTTCGACAGGTGGAGGATAGGCTTTGACTTGCGGGGTTAACATCAGAAAGGCGACCAACGGTGCAAGCGCCGACGAAAACCAGACCCCATTCCCCAACCGTGGTGGTCGCATTTAAATTGAAGCCACAAGCCGGCTCTTCTGAGCTTTATTTTTCCTGATATTTCTTTAGCTGGAAAGTCGTGAAGATTCATATATGATGTACACCCCTCTGCACTGCACTGCTTAGCTGCACTTCACTTGCGCCGTTCAAATAATGCGTTTCCGATTCGATTTCCCCCGAAGATGGGAAGCTTTTCGATTGATCTCATTCACTGTTGGAATTCACGAATCATATCTAATGAAATTGCGCTTGTGTAAGACCGGCGGGCGCTTGGTCCTCAAGGTACAGAAAAATGACAGGCGGCTGCGCTGGTTGAGTGTATGTACTGCCTCATCATTCAACAGTCCGAGTTCCATGCATCATGGTGCTGGTCGGCTATCACCTAGTCTCGTACCTATCTGGTCTCGCCTCTAAATCGGCAAACCGTTGGTTTGCGCTCTTTTTTCTGGCCATTACAATGCTCCTAAACCCAAAAAATACAGGATGAAGCTGCGAAGTTCATAAGTTCCGAAAACGCTATGCAACAACCTGAACTCAAGAATACCCCCAAGAACAACACCCCAATTCCGACAAACGCACACGCCATTGTGTCTGCATGCCCTTTTTATGCATATTGCTTCGCGAGAACACGGGCTGGGCTTCTAGCTTGAAGCCACTGACTTCTGCAGAAGCCAACACTCACAAAGTGTCAAGAGGCAACGAAACACAATGCTACGTGGGAGAGTTTACAATGCCACGGACTTCGCTAAGTTGAAGCTCTGAAGTGTGAGCCTAATCAGCGTTGGCTACGCAGTATGGCTGGCCACGCCACGGGGTCCACCGCAAGCTCCACAAACTTCAGTACAACGCAATGGGTAGCTCTCCAGGGAAATACGGGCTCGTCTGAGGCAGTTGGCCTGCAATTTGCTTCGCCAGAACTCCGCTCTGGTAAAGCTGCACCAATGTGTCGTGAGAACCAAGGCAAACGCCATCAACAAATAGGAACGGGCATCGGGTCTTCTTTCTGAACAGACAAGTGTGGAAAACAGCCTATGTTTCAATTCAGCAGGAACGTTGTCAGCACTACAATACATAGCCTTCTGCAGCTTTTCCACAGGCTAGCATTAGTTAAAAGGGCTCCACAGCACTTCTCACAACAAGATTTGTTTCCCGTCACCCAGCATCGGCTGTGCTTATGGCGAAAACTTTCAGTTTAATCTTTGGTCCGTGGCTGTTCGGGCGGTTCATATGTGCGAATGCTGAACTGGCTTTCTGTGATGCGACGTGACAACCTTACGCATGAGTTAGCGCGAATCCCAGTATAGCCGGATGGGTGGTGACGTCGACTGCCATGAGAGGGACACTCTGGAGCTGTGTCAGCATTTTGACAACATTCATGGATGCGAGAGATTTAGGCCTATCGACTGTGCCTTCCATGAACAGCACGAGTCTGTTCTGCTTCAGCAGAGGTAATAAGTGGGCATCCACGCTTTCCCTTTCTTCATTGTACGCTTTTGTGCTGCGCTCCACCAGCCGTTTATACACTGGGTCTTCCGGTCCTCCGCAGGCCTTTAGAAGCGCTTCAAATGTAGCAGACTGTGGCAAGATGCTGCTGGAAGATGAGGATTCGGCGGTATCACCTGAAACAACGGTGCGTGAGTGAGGCACTGATGTCACGTTACTCTGGGGAGAATTAGTTCCTGTTGCCAGGCAAAAAACTAGCTTTTTATTGTAGCCCTTTGGATTTATGAAGGGTCGAACGGCGCGAAAGATGTGAGCCATTTTGAGGGCTGAATGCCGAGGGGGCTCGAGAGGGACACACGAATTCTTCTCTTATGGAACAGCCAGCCTCTCTGGCTGTTATAAGCAGCTCGCAACAAACAATTTCGTCAAAGCGAAGGCACTGTGTGGAGAAGGGAGACACAAGGTGGTGATTTTCTGGAGGAGCATTTTCCCCTGCATGCGCTTCCGTAGGAGTAATGAGAGCAGCCCTCCCCATAAAGATAGGCAGAAATTACTTGATCGGCCTCTGTTTCCCCACTTTCTTTCACAGGGAAATTTAGTGACTCTCAGCTGAATACTGATTTCTGGGTATACTCTGGTGACCAAGCCACTACTGCCTTTATTTCCCTAGACAATGCAAGCTGCAGCCGCAAGCTCTTGCCGTGCGATGACAATCAGGTCCCCTTATAGGTTTTCATTTGGAGGAGCTGATTCGAGGCCAAACATTATTAGCCGTCTCGAACTCTACAGGCGTTCTTTGTCCGAGCTTTTGGCGCTAAAGGAGAAGCAGCCTCCAACAGACAGCGGAGCTCGATTACCTTGCCACTCTTCTACCCAGAAAACTGCCTCGCAATTCCTTGATACCCAGTTGATTTGGCGATCACGAAATGTTGCTATCAGCGGCTCTCACTGGAGGTGCCCTCGCAGTGTTAGAGGGTTTGCAACGAAACGCAAGAGGCTGGATGAATATGACTCTTATGAAGCAACAATCGACCCCAGGAAGGTCCCTCCCGATTTTTGCAGGGTGCCTATACACTTCCAGTCTGCAGGAGAGCTAAAAGACACCGTAACAATGGCTGGGCGCATGCGTCTAACCAACCCAAATTTCTGGATGCGCTGCAGTTCCGCTCTAAAAGACCATTCCGGGGCTTTCCGTGCAAGAGAACTCGTCGCTATTCTTAATGCCTACGCGAAAGCAAATTACAGGGATGTTTATCTGTTCAATTGTTTCTCTCAACTCGTCGCTCTGCAGGCGCATGACTGTCGCGCGTCAGACCTGGCAGTCGCTCTGCAGGCTTTTGCGAGACTTAACATCCACAACAGGCCGTTTTTTGACCTACTAGCACTGCAATGCATACGGAAGATGGAAGAGTTGGGCCCAAGAGGGATCGCCACTGCGGCGGCTGCTTATGGGGGTGTTCAGCATCACCATCCCTTGCTTTTCAGCAGACTCTGTGAGCACACAAAGGCACAGATTGAGACATTTTGCAACACAGACCTCATCCAAGTACTGTGGGCTTGTTCACGCGTCTCGTATCGGCACTTGGAGATGCTTAACCGCTGCGCAGACCAACTGATTTCTCGGTTGGCCACTTGCACTGTCGCGGAGACACTCTCAGCAGCACAGGCGTTTGCATCTTTGGGTTTCTACAGAGCTGACTTAGTGGGAAGCTTTTCGTCATTTTTAAAATCCAAAATATGTAGCATCCCAGTTCGCAGCCTTCCGCTGCTTCTGGAGGCATTCACGTCATTCGACCGGCTTGCGAGGGCGCACTCGGCCGAACATGGGAAGTCTGTGTCAGCGCATCAGGCGGGGACAGCTGATTCCTTGTCCGACAACGCTGATCTGTACAGAACGGCACTTCCAGCTATAGCTCGGGCTGCCATATGTTTTTCTTTCAGCGAGTTAGCTTCAGTGGATTCGGCTCTGCATTCAGTAGGCCTTAGGCATGATCTCTTGACGCGAGCGTTGCAGCAAGTGCTGCAACAGCAAGGCCCGTACTTAACCCCTGGGGAGTGCGTAGATATTTTGGTGCAAGTGGCCTCGCGAGGGGGGACCGGGAACAATGTTGCTGCGGCTGTAGCCATCAGGGCCCTTCTTTCCTCTCCTGAGAAAGTATGCAGCCTCCCCGACGCGTCAATCTTACAGATATTCAGGTCTCTGAAGAAGTTACAGTGCTCCGATTCCCTTGCTGTCCTTGCTTGGATCACTTTTGGAGATTCCGGCCCGGGATGCAAACGGTGTCATCTTAGGGGCGCTGAGCTGCTGGTCGCTCAACGCATTTTGTTGCAGTACTTCTCTGCGGGTAACTATTCCTTTAATGTTAAAACTTGCTGCATGCATTTCTGTACGCCCCAGCAGCTGCACGTACGGAAAACGTCTGTTCCCAGGTCCTGATCAGTGTTATTTCCGCTTGTTTGCAGAAGCTTTTGTAAATTCCTATTGCAAGGGCCGTTTCTTAGGTGCTTCGTGGAAAGCTGATGCCGATGGTACATCCCGGGCGCCTGTGGCTTCATTCAGCCCTCCTTCCGGGCAAAGTGATGCTCTGCAGAAGGAGGCAGTTGATCTTTACGCCTCAATTTTGGGTTATGCAAAAACTGCTGCGGCTGATGCATTAGTTCTGGCGCTTTGTCGCTACAGCGCAGACCCTGGTGTCGGCTTGTGGCTTGAGCTGCTAATGGAAGGACGCCTAAAAAGTCAGTTGCCTTTTCATACGGCAAAATTTGGAAAGCCGTAGAACTGCTTGTCGCCGATACCGATACGTTTTACGACCAATACATGAAGTGTGGGAAGCGAAGCAAGGACTTGAGTGGCGGGCTGACCCGTTGCTTTTTGTTGGTGTGTGGTGTGTTTCTACAGCAGCAGACCCCGAGTTGCTGCCTGCGCTTCTGGTGGAGCTGGCACGATTGCAGAAAGAACGAGAGGCTGCAGAGGAAGCCGGTAACTCTGTGAGAATTATTTTTCACATCCCTCGTTTTAAGCCTACTGGCAGCGAGTGTTATTCCTCGTTAGATGCTTCAAGGGGTGCAAAACGAAAACTCAAGTTCCTTGATAACCAGGGAGGAAACTGGTCCCGTGGTCTTGGGTTTACTCGCACCCCGAGATTTATTGTGGCTGGGGACAGCCTTCATGTGTCGCCATTTGAATGCTGAGTTGCCGCTTCCACAGGAATACTTTATTTGTGGTTCGTTAGCAAAGGGAGGTAAAGCAGCCGTATGCAGACGTTTTGCACCGTTAACTCATCTTTGGAATCCAGGATGGGGCGAAGCACACAGGAAATACTTGTTGACGCTTGTTTGTCTTTACAGACTACGTTTGAACCATGGAATTCTTCAGACGTCTACCCCGGCTCCCACTTTCCTCCAATTCCTTCATCAGATCAGCTGTCGCAGTGTTTCTGTCAGGTTGCTTGCCTTCTTATGGAATCGCCTTTAGCTGAAGTGGCTGGAGATGCTGAACACCAATTGCCGTTGTCTGGGCAACCTGAGGAAGCGCAGAAAGTGGTCCTCTATCGACGGCTTTCCGTGGCTGCAGCAGGTAGCGCAGCAAAAGCTGTGCGCTCTCACCCCCAACCTGAGATCGCACGGCGGTATGCTAGGAAGCTCTCTGATATGGTGTGCTTGAGGCTTGCAGAGGTGTGTTAAGCTTTCGTGATGCATTGCTTTTTCTCCCTTTAGATACTATGCAGAAACACAGGAACGGTAGATCCTATTCAGGCTTTGTGATTGATGAACGGCCCTTAGTGAAAGTGGCCGCGAAAAGCGACTCCTCCACAGTGACATTGTCATGTTTTTGGTTTTTGCAGGATAGTTTTCCAGGAGAAGCTGTTGATACTGCAGGTTCTTGCCGTGCCCACCACTTCCGACAGGAGGCAAAATGTTTGGCGCGGCTGCTGCAGACTTTCGTGACTCTAGGGGCAAATGTCCCATCGGAGCTTCTACGGTGGGGCTTCTACATTTACTGTCCCATACAAAGTATTTTGCGTTCTGCAGAATTTGCTTCGCGAGAAATGAAGGAAGGTTTTACGTCTGAAATTTCGCTTAAGCGCAAAGAGTTTCACTCGCGTCTCTGTTATGCCGTGCAGCGAGCTTGCTCCTCGCCTGAAGTTCATGGAAGGGAAAGATATCTTGTCAGTTCTGCGATTAATTTCCCAGCAACCCGCGGAATGTGCCTTTCGCCATCACCTTGCATGCGCCGTCGATTTACGCTTTCGGGACCTGAAGAGTTGGAGGCAACTGAATGAGCTTCGTGTAAGATTCACGCTGTGGCACGTCTGTTAGTGAGGCACACCGATCCCCGTATAGGCGTGAGTAGAGTTGTGGGTAATCAAGTACGTGGTTAAGATTTGTTTTTTTTCGTTCCTCCTATAGTTTCCTTCATGGAGTGACATACAGACGGGCTGAACTCTGTGGGGACGTCTCTATGCAGTTGCGCGACTTTTGACTCTCTGCGCATAAGCGGAAGCGCTGTTGGAACACACTTGGTTTCGTCAGAACTGGTTTATATAATATTTGCATTATGCGATATATAATATTTGCATCATGCAGGAGCTCTGTGTTGCTCTGAAGCTGGCAGTGGATGATGACATCGCTGAACAAGAGGCTGATGTTTCTCGGTACCAGTCAGCAGAAGACCCTGAGGAGGTAAGCCTGCGAGGAGGCACTCAGGCACTCAGTTTGCTGACAGAGCTGTGAAGCATCGCTAATGTACGATTTGTTTGGCTGATCTTGTCATGGCCGTAGGAATACATACCAACTTTAGCTGATGCCATGTGCGAATTGCAAGAGGACGCTTCATGAGACGCGGCCTGCAGCACTTTTCGCCATCAAGGGTGGAGATTTGACAGTGGATGGTGGGGTGTGCTGGCTGCTGGTATTATGCCACGCAGCCAACTTCGTCAGTTCCGTACAACTGCTCTCTACTCAGAAGAGTGGAGTGCACGCGCATCAGGTTGCGATCTAGTGTGTCGACGCATTGGCTAGGATGACTACAATAGAGTGACTGCAGTCGCTTCGAGGGCGGAGCCAAGTTTACATATCGCATTCCAGGGACTGGGCACGGCCCTCCATAAGAATGAATGCTCAGCTCTACAGTTTTTGAATATGTGAATAATTGAGGGTCAGTTACACTGACTACGGCGTATTATTTGGGTGCGCAGTTCCTAATTATCCTTATTCGTCCATATAACTGCAATCAGCTCAAGTGCTCCTTATTTATCTGCATTTTCCATGCTTAGAACACATGGCTTGCATACTGTTTTCGCTCTGCTATGTCGGTGGAAATTAACGCGAATTGAGACGCAGTCCCTTGATGGGCTGTCTCCGAGTGTCACGATCTAGCCACTCGAGCTCCGGGCCTTCCGGTTCATCATATGTAGGGCCAGTGCCTCACGCCTGCCCACCATTTTGTAAGGTTAGCCTGTACTAATCGCTTGCTCGTTTTTCACGGTGACTACTTACATCGAATGGACAGCACTGTAGAGAGCCCTCTCGACTTTGTGTGCTGGAAGAGTGTCGTTGTTGAAGGGGTGTGTAAAGGTTATTGAACGCCTTTCATGTTACCAGCAAAGGAGTTCAAAAAGACATTTTTTTGAGAAAATGAGACCGAACTTGAGGAGAGGCCGGTTCCCCAAGGGGTTGCGCCCCTTTAGGCAACGTTGGCAAGGCCAGAATGAGGCTCTGGTTAAGAGCAACGTTGGAACGTAGCCTTCTAGCTAACAAAGTCTATGTAGAGAAGTCTTACTCCCCCTTCGAAAGCACATCGGGCCATAAAGCGGGAGGAAGAGAAAAAATCTGTATAAGTGGCCGCTGGGCATCTACTTCGTTCCACTGGGGAGTTGGGGTTCTACCGTTGCCAGTTGCGCCCCACTACTTAACTGTTGTGTTCCGGCATCCTCGGAATTTGCAGAGTTCATTTAAAATGACGCTTACTCTATGAGAACTTTATTCCATTAATTTTTAGGCCCGCTGCAGACGTCATATTTTGAGACGCAGCTTCGGTCGCCAGCAGAACCTGTTCTCCCCACACCAGTCCCAGTTCCAAATAGTCCGTAAAAAACTCTCAAAACAAATCGTTGAACCATAAGAATGCACATGGCTTAGTGGCTCCTGGTTCGGCCGAAGTGCATAGCTCATCGAATCTCCTCTTTTTGGAGATTTTCCGCCTGTAGGGACGGGGAGATAGTTGGGGCGGTCCCCAGTCCCCATAGGGAAGGAACACTCAGTTGAGCTAGGAAAGACACCCACGAACTTGCTTTATTTGTGTCCAAAAGTTGACCTTTCAAATAGTTTGCAAAAAATTGCGTGTCTACTCGTATAGTCTGCAATTGCTCTGTAGAACATTCATTGAGATCACTCAGCACCCGCAGCAGCTTGCAGCATCGGTGGTCTCGGACTTCTGGAAATTGCCAACAACTTATTCGTTTCCTTCGCTACAGATAAAAATAATGTTTCTGTACATTTTGTAACAGCAGGATTCTTTGGTCTTGCTTCGTTCCGAGGATGTCAACTTGAAAGGCACACTTACGTAAATATTCTGCGGTTCGATTGTACGCGATTGTGCAGGACACACCGTGAATAACGACGCACGCTGAGTATTTTGAATAAAATTTTGTTGTTTAAGCACTCATTTTGCGGCCTGATCCCTGTCGTTCAAGGTCCATGTCTTCTGATTTAGCATGCTTACGAGTTGAAAGGCGATAATGCTGCCTGGGACAGCATGATGCAGAATAATCCCCACTGTTCAGTATAAGAGTTGAGTAGCATCTTAAGTAACAATTTTTTGGGTCCAGTGATATTATGGCCATGCTCTGCTTTTGTTGCGTGCTGTATACCAACTGTCATTACTGTTGGCCATTACTGTTGACCTTCAGACGGCATTGCAGTGCAGTGATGTCCACGGTTCACACCGGACATGCATTGCTCAGCCAAAAAGCTTCAAAATAGCCCTTGCCAATCTAGTTTCTGAAGAAAGTGTCACTAAGCTTCTCTTTCAATTTTCTCATCTCGTTTTCTATTCCTCTTCTTTCTTCCTCAAGATGATACGCAGCTCGATAGTCGCGACCTCTACTGTCGCAGTCCTCTTCGCAGTGTCAACTAGTAAATGCCTTCCGGTTGAAGCTGAAATGCAGTTCAATCATAGCATTCCTCTTGACGGAGAAAATATTGCCGTTCAAGACCTTAAACTATCAGAAGAACTGAGGAGCCGCCCGCAACAGGCTCCTTCACCGCTGACGAGACTTGGAATCATATTCGTAGCATTGGCCTTAGGCTTTGCTGCTATTCTGTGCTATACTTCATTCAAAAGTCACTCAAGAGGTAGAACAAATGCCATTACCGGCAGAAGATTGGCAACCAGGGGAACAGTTTCGTGTCCTGTGAGTCGGACCTCATTATAGAGAAGGAATGGCGCTCACGTAGATGCGCTAGATATGCATCTAAAGTTCGATGGTGTCGACACAGGCGGAGGGTTTTTTTCTTGCATATGCTGGGCTTCAACAGTTTCACGGGCTTGCAAGCGCTGCGACCTATCAAAGACAATCACTCGTCATTTTTTCATGTGCTTTGAAGGCACAATTTAATCTTCTGGTTGAGCACATGTCAATGCTAATGTGCTTTTGTTACACACTGAAGCGGATGTTTCCCAGGTGTTTCGCATTCACTAACAGACACCTACGGCTACGACGAAACGGAGTATAGGTCTCGAGAACCTGAAGGTTACTGAATGCTACTTCACACTACTCGCATCTTTACAAGAAACAAGGCAAAATATACAGGACAGAATGATAGTGCTGTAAAGGGTCAATCGACATGGCCAGAATAAGCGTGGCCTTATGGATAAAACGCGGCCCATGGCAAGGTGCAAGCACCCACGCTACAAAAATACACAGATATAGATGCAGGTATGTACACTGAAACCAAAACGAGCCTTTAACAAGCAGCTAGCCTCCATGTGCCAGATGCGTTGATTTGTTTAGCGATTCCCCAGATGCCCATTGTTGTCTAAGGGAATACATTTTGCACCTGCTGGAAATGCATACCCAACCGCTGAGTCATATGCTAGAATGGCGCGTTACAGAGCTCTTTAGAACTCTGCATTTCAAGGATGTACGTAAATATATACTGGTGAAAGACGCCGTGCTTGTCCGAAATTGGAGTAGGCGCTTTAAAACTTTCTAAAAGAAGCTCGGAAAAGGCAGAGCTGCAGCGCCGATGTAACTCGCCTGATCCACCGTTTATTAATAGGGGAGCAATTTTGCATGGGTCCACTGCGCAAGCACTCAGTGGAGATGGGACTACAGTGATGCTGGGTAACATGAAACCACTGAATAGAAATACAATACACCACACACTTTGACATGGAGATGTTTTTTGAGTAGAGATATTAACCGAACACTGACACCTGGAAGTAGAAGAATCCACAGATTAATCTAATAATCGCACCAAGAGATACTTCGAAATGGAGGCGGCCACTTCCATAGTACGTATCACACTGACAGAAGTCCTCTGCTTTGCAAACGATCTTTACAGGACATAAGCAAGAGATGCGCGCAGCTTCTAGGCAGGGTTTTAATATCTTAGTAACAGTACGTGGAGTGATCAGGCGGAGAACCAGTTCCATTAATCTGCTTGATGGTGCAAGAAGTGTATGATGACTGGGCAGGAAGTGCGCTCGGCAGCCAACGCAGGCACGAAATCAAGGGAGTAGAAATTTATTAAAACTCCTATGCGGCAGATATTGCTAGCGGATTTTGGAGAATGATTTTACACGATGAGCTGGAAACATTGTGGTGAGGCTCCACATTTGAAGTATGAAAAAAAGTGATGTAAAAAATATTGCATTTCTGTTAATATTGCATTTCTGTTAGCTCATTTTGCATGCTTTGACAGATGGCTAAGATTTGAAATAGATGTAACACGACAGATATGAATGTCGATGCTTTAGAGTTTTCCACCTTTCTTGAATGCCAGTGCAGAATGTAAATAGTGTTATGCCAGCACTATACACGAAGATGGGACATGAACGCAGTGTACATCTCTTTTAGTGTAGAGCGTGGCCTGTAGAACTAGTAAGCATGAGCATCCAGAGAATGGAAACGGCGGGTGAACATTTTTCTCCAGATTGTGGGTAGCATACTCGCACGAGTCACCAAATGTTCTTTTTTTTTGCTTTTGAGCTAAACCAAATGAGTTGCCACACGAGGCGTTGCATATGGCAGCCTACAACCTCGCGCTCACTGATCCCTTCAGTAGAATCGTGCATGAAATGGCAGGCTTTCCAAGATCTTCTGGCAATTTCTGCTAGAAACATGGATGCCAGTTTCCCTTACCAATAATTGCATGTGGAAAGCAAAGAAGTAACAAGTTTCCCCTTATTCTTTACGTGAGCTACACGTGTCACACGACTTTCATTTAATTTAACTTTGTGACTCCGTGCTTGAATAGGAAGGGCGAGTGACGATCATCTGCAAAATCATGCTACTCAACGACGTGGGCAGCGCAGTATACCAGGGGAATTCAAGTGCGCGAACTATGCATGTGTCTTGGGCATGAGACGGTCTTAATGATGCAGTATACAGGGTGAACCCAAATGCACGAACTATACTATTTTCTTTGCGTTTGGTAAAAGGCAAACGTTGGCAGGAAGTATGTGTATGCAATTCGCAGGTGCAGCTTAAAACCGTTTCCTTGGAAGGAGCCTGAAGGCTTATCAGCGAAACAAGACGGATGTATTGGGTTGCTTATCAGTTTTGCAAGCGAATGGTGGCAAACTAGGTGAAAAAGAGCTTGCGAGTCCAACTTTAACCAAGGGCACTATTGAGAAAGTACCGTGTGGACAAAGCTGGTGAGAAAAGCACTGCGCTGTTTACGTAGTTCTAATGCCTTAATATGCGTGCATCCACCAATCAGAGACAGCCGTTTCTCGAAAAATTTAGTATGTGCTCTGGAGGCTTTTACGCAGACAAGGGAACTAATGCATGCGTTAAGCGTGGAAGTGTGGCAACTACCTTGCGTGCTTTCATCATCCGAGCGGTTATTGTTTAAGGATACAGTGGCAGCACTATAATGGCTGAACAGACGACTTTAGACTAGGAATTTGAAAATAATGTGGCCCTTGGTCAGCAACGGGCGTTCGTAAAGGCAACAAGTACAGCAGATAAAAACATCAGATGAGCGGACTGTCCAAGTGAGGCAGCCCAGCAGTACCTATCTGCTTGGGGGCGCTACAGCGGAGTACACAGATGGTGAGATGAACAGGCGCCAATGGCATCCGATTTTGCAGCTGTGAGGTAAATGTGGGCACGTGAACAGCAACTAGCCGGTTAAAAAGTGAAGTAATCATATCGCCATCCACTTTACAAGCATTCCTGAGGTACCACGGAGCCTGCACGGAAATCACCGGAACTCATTTGGAATCTGTCTTCATGTGCAAATCTCGTGCAAATACAAGATGGATCGAGCAGTTGGGCTGCCGAACTCGGCGAGGCACATGTACGGTCCTTGCGCGAATGCTTGTGAACGATGTTGAGTTGCACGTACCCTGGATGAACTACCGCAAGATGACAGGGAAAGAGCACACGATTTTGTCAATAAGGACGGGTGGCTTCCTCATGCTGCAAACCGGGTCTGTTGATTCGTTTGGCAGTGTTGCGAACACGTAATCATGGTTTGAGAGCGAATATGGTGGATTTGGAGGATACTGGTCTAGCAGGGAATCCCTTTGGTAGACGTATGTGGAGGTTGATGGAACGAACTACGCTAGCTTTTTGCAACTTTGGCGTTCACACAGCTCTGGTGATCCTAGATGGCACCTTTGCCGAGGCGGAAATAAAATTCCTTCTGTGCACTTCGCACAAGAATTCAGCATGTCACGATTCACAGGCAAGGCACTTGAATTGCTAACTGCATGCATCGAGTTACAGTTAGATTGAACGTTTTAAGGAGGTATGTGTCGATTGCTGATGATAGGGTTGGGCTATTCGGCGCAAAGCAACATACTGGCACTCCGCTTTTGTGACGCTAGCACGGTGTACTTGACAAGCAATGCTCTTGCGAACTGGAAAGAATGCTCTGAGGAATGCGGCGATCGTGCGTCTAGTGATATGCGCCGTGCCGATGTGACGAGCCAGGTGCACAGTTTGACGTGCTAGGATTGAAGTTGTTACCGACAAACTGACTGCTTTTGGTGGATTGCACCGACTTTAACTTAGGCAGGAGCCAAAACGGGGACACTGCACGCTCGACGATGAAGATAGGAAACCAACATCACGCGTACCCAAGAAGGGCAAACAAGTGCGTTGCGACTGGGCTTCCAGAGACGGCATCGTTGTTGCAGAGTAAAGTAAATTTCCTAAGGGCGATTAGGGAAGCATAAGAGGATGCCGTGACACGATGCGCATTTTGCTCGCGTGTTGTTAGCCTGAGCTTTTCTGAAAGCGCTACGCGTGTTTTTGTCGTGACCAAGCGCCAGCAAGCTACGACGTTTGAAGGCGGACTCTAGTGCTGCGTTGTTGATGGCTTCAGCAATTAGGTTTGGTCTGTTAATCACACCAGTGCATAGCGTTGATGCGGCTGTGGTGGTAGTACCGAGGATGAGCGGAGGAAGGTGGATTTTTCTGACGTGGTGCATGAAAGGTGAATTTTGACAGAGAGTAAGCGTTAGAGTCAGTGAAGGCGTTTTGAAGGGCTATGGAGCAATTTGAGTAGCACTGGGTAGGGTGCGGCTGGGAGTGGTGGAAGATGACGGATCTTTCGTGAGTGTTGTTTGGGATTTGACAGCTGTACAGCGACGGGAGGAACAGCGGATGTGGCGGCATATGGAGACGCGGGTTTCGCGGTGCAGGCGCTCAGGTATGAAGCTGTGAAGGAACTGCGATGCGGCACGTAATTGTTGACATTTGAGTATCGTCGAGGGACACGACATCACGTGCACCTGGCTGTAGCGAGCTTTGGCACAGCATGTTTTCCGAGGATGGTGGGCCTGAGCGGCGACGGGAGTGAAGTGCGTTCTGCGCGACTGCGCTTGCATTACACGTTTGAGCTGCTTGGTTTGTCCTGCTTTGCGACGCATGTGGTGTTTCTGTGGGAGTGCTGCAGAGCTTGAAGTGGCGAGTATGAATGTTGTGTTTGTAATCGGCATGTACTGGACATTGGCAGGAAGTACGCTCGAGCGTGGTGGCGACGACGACGGTGTGTTTATTGGCAGCATCAAGCGATGGAAGAGCAAGAGCATGCTGGTGCTTGCAGAGGTTGCGAAGAAGATGTCGAGTCCTCTTTGTGGCTGCTTTGGTTTGCTTCTATTTGGCGGAGACAGGTCACAAAGGCACAGACGTCGGAATCGGTAGGCTTTGGCGATGCTGCTCTGGCTTGGGAGACGTGTGGTAGACGTAGGCTTTGCTAAAGTCTTTGAGGCGAACCATAGTGAGATTTCGAATGTCAGAGTGCGGGACGTGTGTGTGAGCATCTGCTGATCCGAGGCGTAACGCGAGTCGACGATGAGGCGAATATCTTCATATGCAAGTGCGTGGATTGTGCATGATCAGCGTGATGCTTTTCAGAATGTAGGTGTGGAGTGCAGGTCTTGGCAGGGCTATGCTGTTCGGAGTGAAGCGGCGTACTCGCATCCCGTGTGTGTGTTGATTAGGACGTTTTGGTCGGTACCCAGTGGCGACGGGAGACAGAAAAATGGGTGTGAGGAAGACGAGGGCCGCTTGTGGAGTGAAGGGCGGCATGCTGATGCGCCACTTGCGGTGTTTGAAGTGCCTGCAGTGCAGGTGGTGCTGGCATATGACGTGCATTTGTCTGTTTGTGCGGGCTTGGATTTGGCGAGGAGGCATTTGCGAGGAGATTGCATGTTCAATGGCGATAATGACGCCGAGAGGATACGACGTTTGAAGGCGGACTCTAGTGCTGCGTTGTTGATGGCTTCAGCAATTAGGTTTGGTCTGTTAATCACACCAGTGCATAGCGTTGATGCGGCTGTGGTGGTAGTATCGAGGATGAGGGGAGGAACGTGGATTTTTCTGACGTGGTGCATGAAAGGTGAATTTTGACAGCCAGTAAGCGTTAGAGTCAGTGAAGGCGTTTTGAAGCGATATGGAGCAATTTGAGTAGCACTGGGTAGGGTGCGGCTGGGAGTGGTGGAAGATGACGGATCTTTCGTGAGTGTTGTTTGGGATTTGACAGCTGTACAGCGACGGGAGGAACAGCGGATGTGGCGGCATATGGAGACGCGGGTTTCGCGGTGCAGGCGCTCAGGTATGAAGCTGTGAAGGAACTGCGATGCGGCACGTAATTGTTGACATTTGAGTATCGTCGAGGGACACGACATCACGTGCACCTGGCTGTAGCGAGCTTTGGCACAGCATATTTTCCGAGGATGGTGGGCCTGAGCGGCGACGGGAGTGAAGTGCGTTCTGCGCGACTGCGCTTGCATTCCACGTTTGAGCTGCTTGGTTTGTCCTGCTTTGCGACGCATGTGGTGTTTCTGTGGGAGTGCTGCAGAGCTTGAAGTGGCGAGTATGAATGTTGTGTTTGTAATCGGCATGTACTGGACATTGGCAGGAAGTACGCTCGAGCGTGGTGGCGACGACGACGGTGTGTTTATTGCCAGCATCAAGCGATGGAAGGGCAAGAGCATGCTGGTGCTTGCAGAGGTTGCGAAGAAGATGTCGAGTCCTCTTTGTGGCTGCTTTGGTTTGCTTCTATTTGGCGGAGACAGGTCACAAAGGCACAGACGTCGGAATCGGTTGGCTTTGGCGATGCTGCTCTGGCTTGGGAGACGTGTGGTAGACGTAGGCTTTGCTAAAGTCTTTGAGGCGAACCATAGTGAGATTTCGAATGTCAGAGTGCGGGACGTGTGTGTGAGCATCTGCTGATCCGAGGCGTAACGCGAGTTGATGATGAGGCGAATATCTTCATATGCAAGTGCGTGGATTGTGCATGATCAGCGTGATGCTTTTCAGAATGTAGGTGTGGAGTGCAGGTCTTGGCAGGGCTATGCTGTTCGGAGTGAAGCGGCGTACTCGCATCCCGTGTGTGTGTTGATTAGGACGTTTTGGTCGGTACCCAGTGGCGACGGGAGACAGAAAAATGGGTGTGAGGAAGACGAGGGCCGCTTGTGGAGTGAAGGGCGGCATGCTGATGCGCCACTTGCGGTGTTTGAAGTGCCTGCAGTGCAGGTGGTGCTGGCATATGACGTGCATTTGTCTGCTTGTGCGGGCTTGGATTTGGCGAGGAGGCGTTTGCGAGGAGATTGGATGTTCAAAGGTGATAATGTCGGCAAGTTAGCATTTTGCGTAGTTGCGAGTGCAAATGAGCCTGTGAATGTCGACGCATAGGCAACGCCATGCGGGCCGGAAAGTGAATTAGTGTTGCACGCAGCAGTTGTGCAAGGAAGCAAGGAATTCTATGGTTGGTTGGCGCGCTGCTAGCGTGAGTGCAGCCGATATTTTTTCGACCTTCTGATCTTGACGGCACAGCTGTCAGCTGACTGTTCGGCAGTTTTGTGTAGGGTGGAGCAACGCGCATAGACTATCCGCATCTGCGTGGTAGGGTAAAGGGCTCGACAATCGTGTACCTTTTGGTTTGAGGCAAGTGCTTTGAAGATCCCAAAAGTTGTGTTTGCGCTGCTGGGTGGCGCAACGATGTGTCCCGCGCCACACGTTGATTTGCCTGCCTGGAAGAATGATAAGGGGTGTGGCCTGAGACTTTGCACTTTGTGTGGTTGCACCTTTGGTTGCGCAGGATGTACGTGGATATGCGAGGAGGCAAACATTCCAGTAGGTGTCACCGGGGCTTTGGAGAGCTGTGCGGCGAAGAGAATGAGAATGTCCGCCAGTTCTGCGGAGGGCTCTGCTCTTGTAAGCAGCACGCCTGCCTACCCAGCATACGCCGAGAGGATACGGCATTTGAAAGTCGTTTCTACTGTTGCGTTGTTGATGTCTTCAGCAATTAGGTTTGGTGTGTTAATCACACCAGTGCATAGCGTTGATGCGGCTGTGGTGGTAGTGTCGAGGATGAGGGGAGGAACGTGGATTTTTCTGACGTGGTGCATGAAAGGTGAATTTTGACAGCCAGTAAGCGTTAGAGTCAGTGAAGGCGTTTTGAAGCGATATGGAGCAATTTGAGTAGCACTGGGTAGGGTGCGGCTGGGAGTGGTGGAAGATGGCGGATCTTTCGTGAGTGTTGTTTGGGATTTGACAGCTGTACGGCGACAGGAGGAACAGCGCATGTAGCGGCATATGGAGACGCGGGTTTCGCGGTGCAGGCGCTCAGGTATGAAGCTGTGAAGGAACTGCGATGCGGCACGTAATTGTTGACATTTGAGTGTCGTCGAGGGACACGACATCACGTGCACCTGGCTGTAGCGAGCTTTGGCACAGCATATTTTCCGAGGATGGTGGGCCTGAGCGGCGACGGGAGTGAAGTGCGTTCTGCGCGACTGCGCTTGCATTACACGTTTGAGCTGCTTGGTTTGTCCTGCTTTGCGACGCATGTGGTGTTTCTGTGGGAGTGCTGCAGAGCTTGAAGTGGCGAGTATATGCTCGGTATGTGCTGGACATTAAGACGACAAAAGTACGCTCGAGCGTGGTGGCGACGACGACGGTGTGTTTATTGGCAGCATCAAGCGATGGAAGAGCAAGAGCATGCTGGTGCTTGCAGAGGTTGCGAAGAAGATGTCGAGTCCTCTTTGTGGCTGCTTTGGTTTGCTTCTATTTGGCGGAGACAGGTCACAAAGGCACAGACGTCGGAATCGGTTGGCTTTGGCGATGCTGCTCTGGCTTGGGAGACGTGTGGTAGACGTAGGCTTTGCTAAAGTCTTTGAGGCGAACCATAGTGAGATTTCGAATGTCAGAGTGCGGGACGTGTGTGTGAGCATCTGCTGATCCGAGGCGTAACGCGAGTTGATGATGAGGCGAATATCTTCATATGCAAGTGCGTGGATTGTGCATGATCAGCGTGATGCTATTCAGTATGTAGGTGTGGAGTGCAGGTCTTGGCAGGGCTATGCTGTTCGGAGTGAAGTGGCGTTCTCGTATCCCGTGTGTGTGTTGATTAGGACGTTTTGGTCGGTACCCAGTGGCGACGGGAGACAGTAAAATGGGTGTGAGGATGACGAGGGCCGCTTGTGGAGTGAAGGGCGGCATGCTGATGCGCCACTTGAGGTGCGGTGTTTGAAGTGCCTGCAGTGCAGGTGGTGCTGGCATATGACGTGCATTTGTCTGTTTGTGCGGGCTTGGATTTGGCGAGGAGACGTTTGCGAGGAGATTGGATGTTCAATGGTGATAATGTCGGCAAGTTAGCATTTTGCGTAGTTGCGAGTGCAAATGAGCCTGTGAATGTCGACGAATAGGCAACGCCATGCGGGCCGGAAAGTGAATTAGTGTTGCACGCAGAAGTTGCGCAAAGAAGCAAGGAATTCTATGGTTGCCTTGGCTGGCGCGCTGCTAGCGTGAGTGCAGCCGATATTTTTTCGACCTTCTGATCTTGACGGCACAGCTGTCAGCTGACGGTTCGGCAGTTTTGTGTAGGGTGGAGCAACGCGCATAGACTATCCGCATCTGCGTGGTAGGGTTAAGGGCTCGACAATCGTGTACCTTTTGGTTTGAGGCAAATGCTTTGAAGATCCCAAGAGTTGTGTTTCCGCCGCTGGGTGGCGCAACGATGTGTCGCGCGCGACACGATGATTTGCCTGCCTGGAAGAATGATAAGGGGTGTGGCCTGAGACTTTGCAGTTTGCGCGGTTGCACTTTTGGTTGCGCAGGATGTACGCGGATATGCGAGGAGGCAAGCATTCCAGTAGGACTCACCGAGGCTTTGGAGAGCTGCGCGGCCAAAAAGAATGAGAATGTCCGCCAGTTCTGCGGAGGGCTCTGCTCTTGTAAGCAGCACGCCTGTCTACTTAACATACGCCGAGAGGATACGACGTTTGAAGGCGGACTCTAGTGCTGCGTTGTTGGTGGCTTCAGCAATTAGGTTTGGTCTGTTAATCACACCAGTGCATAGCGTTGATGCGGCTGTGGTGGTAGTGTCGAGGATGAGGAGAGGAAAATGGATTTTTCTGACGTGGTGCATGAAGGGTGAATTTTGACAGCCAGTAAGCGTTAGAGTCAGTGAAGGCGCTTTGAATTGCTATGGAGAAATTTGAGTAGCACTGGGTAGGTTGCCGGTGGGAAAGGCGGAAGACTGACGGGCCCTCGTGAGTGTCATTTGGGAATTGCCAGCTGGAAGGCGACCTGAGGAGTAGCGCAAGTGTCGCGGTTGAAGGAAAGAAAGTGGATTCTTCTGACGTGTTCCATGGAAGGTGAATCGTGACAGCCAGTAGGTGTTAGAGTCAGCAAAGGCGCTCTGAAGGATTACGGAGAAATTTCAGTAGCACTGGGTTGGGTGCGGATGGGAGTGGTGGTAGACTGCGGATCTTTCGTGAGTGTTGTTTGGGATTTCATAACTGGACGGTGACGG